ACAGCTTAAAAACTACACATTTTAACCACTGTTTTTCCTCCCACTATAATTCAAAACAAAGAGGAGTATGCATCTTAATAAACAAAAAAATACAGTTTAACCACCATACAACCATTTCAGATCCTGAAGGCCGTTTTATCATTATTAACATTTCAATCAATAATAATCCAATTACAATTGGCAACATTTATGGACCAAACTCTGATGATTCCGCCTTCTTTGCAAATTTCTTTTCCTCTCTTTCAAACATTTCCAACGGTCCAATAATTATAGGGGGAGACTATAACACTGTAATCAATCCATCATTTGACAGGTCAAAACATACAGGAAAACCTTGGCAGTCCTCTAAAACAATAAAACAGTTCATGAGTGATTTTGGTCTTGGTGATGGTTGGAGGCTACAACACCCACTCGCCAGAGAATACACCTTTTATTCTAATGCCCACCAAACCTACTCTCGCCTTGATTTCTTTCTAACCAGTAATTCAATCCTACCTAATATCTTAGAAACTAAAATACATCCGATCATTATTAGTGACCACTCTCCAGTAACTCTCACATGGAATCCATCTGCAATACCAAAGCACCCCACCAGATGGCGTTTTAATACATCACTCTTGAAAGATCCAGAATTTGACAGCTATTTCAAGAGAGAGTGGACATCCTTCCTTGAAATAAATGACTCTCCAAAGTCGTCAGCATCACTGCTCTGGGAAACATGGAAAGTAGTTTTACGGGGTAAAATTATATCATATTCAGTACATAAAAAAAAAAAGGACAAAGAAAAAGAAGTCCAACTGGAAGAAAGAATAAAAGAATTAGAAATTTTACATGCTAATAATCAATCAGAAAGCATCTATATAGAAATTAGAGAGAAGAAAATTTTGCTTAATGAAATAATAAACAAAAGAAACCAGTTTCTGATTCACAGGCTCCGTCAAGAAACTTTTCACCATAGCAATAAATCCGGAAAATATTTAGCCAGTCAAATTAAAAGAAATAAAGAAAGAACAGCTATAACCTCCATCAGAAACTCGGCAGGGAAGCTAACCAATTCACCAGTTGAGATAAACAAGATATTTCAAGATTACTATATAAAATTATACTCATCGGATCTGGACCCAAACCAAGAAGACATAACCCAATTCCTCGATAACACTATTCTACCCAAACTCAACATGGAACAAGTAAACACACTAGAATTACCAATCACAGAAAAAGAACTTCACTCCGCATTGAAAAGCATGCAAAAAAATAAAGCACCAGGTCCAGATGGCTTCCCTGCTGAGTTCTACGAACATTTTTGGTCAACCGTATACCCACTATTCAGCAGAACAATAACAGAAATAAAACATAACGCAAAGTTCCCATCCCACATGAATACAGCACTTATATCACTCATTCCTAAACCTAACAAAGACCACACCTTCGCATCTAACTATCGCCCTATCTCACTTATAAATGTCGACATAAAAATGATTAGCAAAACACTAGCCCATAGAATTGAACAAATTATACCGTTTATAATCCATCCTGATCAGACCGGCTTTATAAAAGGTAGATATGCATCCAATAACACCCGCAGATTATTCAATCTAATGCATTACTCATCAGTACAAAAGAAAGATACTCTCATTGCCACATTAGACGCCGAAAAAGCTTTTGATAGGGTCAACTGGAAATTTCTATTCACCGTGTTACAAAAATTCGGCTTTGGAGAGTCATTTATTAATTGGATCAAGATTTTATACATATCACCATCGGCCACAGTCACAACCAATGGACTAACATCACAAAGCTTCACACTGCACAGGGGGACGAGGCAGGGATGTCCACTCTCTCCATCCCTATTCACGATTTTTATTGAACCTTTAGCAGCAGCTATCCGCCAAAACCCAGCAATCAAAGGTATTGAAACACCACAACAAACACACAAAATCTCACTTTATGCAGATGATATCCTACTATATATACAAGAACCCCTAACATCCACTCAAGAAGTAATTAAAACAATCCAGTCCTTCTCAAAAATATCAGATTATGCAATAAACTGGAACAAATCTTTCATCCTCCCTCTACATAAAACCAAATGGGATGTGGCACCCCACCAAACACCTATACCTATATGTCATGATCACATCACTTACTTAGGCATTAAGATCTCCTCCAGACTGTCAGAGTTGGTAACACTCAACTTCACACCACTGCTAAAAAAAATAAAAGACGATTTGCTTCGATGGCTCAACCTTCCAATCTCCATAATCGGCAGGATAGCAGCAATAAAAATGACGATTTTACCGAAAATTAATTATCTATTCTCAATGATTCCAACCCACCCTACACTGACCTGGTTTAAATCACTAGACTCCATTATCACTCACTTCTACTGGAAAAATAAAACGCCAAGGATAAAACTCACTACACTACAAAAAAGTAAGGTTCAAGGAGGACTAGAAGCACCAAATTTCCAATATTACTCAATGGCTAACCAACTGCAATACATATACAAATGGATTCACCCCACCCAATCCGATATTATATGGCTAGATATAGAACAATCACTATGCAAAGAATTAAATATAGCTGACATACCGTTCCTCACCAAATCAATCAAACAACACACATGTTTTAATGCAGTAACTATAGCTTCCACTCTGACAGCCTGGTGGAAATTTCACCATATCACAAATTCTAAATTAGTTCCATCTAACTTCACACCACTGTGGAACAACCGTGACTTTATAAGCAATAAAAAAACATTGAATTTTCACACATGGGCAGAAAGGGGTATTACCCACATTAAGCACATTTTCAAATCTAACACATTTAGACCATTTCCGCAACTAGCCCAGGAGTATGGCATCGGGAGCAACGAATTCTTAAAATACCTACAAATCAAATCTTCTGTTCTGACAAAAATAAACATCAGAGACACAACTTTAGAACTTCCAGCGGCAATATCAGACTTGGTCAACATTTCCTCCCCAAAGAAACTTCTCTCTAAAATATACAAAATGATTTCAAACCAACTTCAGACCATATACTTACCAACAATAAAATGGGAAAACGATCTTTCAATAGCTCCTGATGCCAGCTTCTGGACCCAAATCTGTAAAAACATCCATCTCATGTCCAAAAATGCAAATCTTCAGTTAATACAATACAAAATACTTCATAGAACACATTACACGGGCAATAGATTAGCTAAAATGGGTTTCACATCAGAAGTTTGCACACATTGCAATCAAAATTCTACAGATACATACATCCATGCAACCTGGCACTGCACTCCAATCAAACACTTTTGGGAAGAGGTCACACAGTCACTATCCACTATAGTTGGCTGCCACATCCCAATGTCGCCTTCTCTTTGCTTGCTGGGAGACCTCACAATAATCACTGATAAAACTATAAACTCTAAAATACTCCTCATAGCTCTAACCATCGCCAAGAAAACTATCCTCATGAACTGGAAAACTAGAAATAAATTACACATTAACATTTGGAAAAATCTTATAACAGACTTCATTGCAATGGAATATGCATCTCCCCTTCATAATTACGCATCTAAAACTGACTCCTGCCGCCCAACACTTTCTGACCTCTTACAGCTGTGAACCCTTTCTCGGTTTTCAACTCCAACTCCTCCCACCTTCTTAATCAACCCACGAAAATTAATGCATTTAGTTGTTTGAACTTGTTCATGTCATCATTGTTATTACTATCTTTACTGTTATTGTTATCGTTGCTATTTTCACTGTTATTTTTTCATTGTTGTAATTGCTGATGTTGCTGTCTTTTGCTTTCACCATTGCGGTCACCACTGCCATCATCATTGTCATTTATTATTAATATCATTATTACCATTATTATTATAATCATCAATATTGCCGTTGTCAATGCTGTATTGGAATTAAGTGTCATTATCATCACTACTGCAATAATTCCCCCCTTATCTCTTCACGGGTTTTTAATGCACCACAACATAGAATAGGAAAAAAAAAAAAAAAAAAAAAAAAAAAAAAGAAGGCACAGCAGAAATTTGAGGTCGGTCGGACTAAATCCCTAGGAGGAGTTCGTTAAAGTACGAAGTGTGTAAACCATCCAAAATTTGACGTAAAATTCAAAATGGCTGACTTCCTGTTGGTTTTAGGGCATAGCTCCAAGAGACTTTTTGTGCGTCTGGACAAGATACACGTACCACAGAAAATTCGTGCACGTAGGTGAAACGTGCGGCGGGGGCTGCTTCGTTAAAGGTCACTTTCTGTTGCCAGCAGGTGGCGCTATGACTGTGGGTGAATGTCGGCATGTACATGTGTTCAGGGCGGGACTCTCATCCTAGATGTACAGTTTGGTCCAGATGTGAGCATGTACACTGAAGTTACAACAACTTCCTGTTTCATTGGACGGCTATGGGTTCTTGAGGCTTTTTTGTGCGTCTTGATACGATACATGTCCCCAGAAAATTTCGTACATGTAGGTTGAACGTGAACGAGGGGCTAATCTTTTCCAATTTTCTAGGTGGCGCTAGCGAGTCATTTTGCCACGCCCATGTGCGAAACTTGTAGAATACGAAATTTTTCACCGGTTCTGACATGTTTGCAAATTTTGGTGAGTTTTCGAGTATGTTTAGGCCATGTCATTTGGGCCTACTTTGCAGAAAAAAGAAAAAAAAAAAAAAAATATATATATATATATATATATATATATATAATCCGAGCAAATTCAATAGGGACCTCGCACGGTTGTGCTCGGGCCCTAATTACTTCCAATTATGTCACTGTTAGGTCTTAGGGGTGATACGTTACAGCTGAGCTCCAGATTTTGATGGCCGGATTACAAACTCTGCACACCCCCACGCACATTTTCTCTCACTTGTTCGAGTTTGTAGGATTCAATCATGGAGTTTTTCTGCCCTCTAGGGTCAGATAGAGGTATTACAACTCAGAATGTGTAAGTAATATGTGTATAATATAAGTAACTTTTCTTTTATCTTTCAGCACAGCGGAGGGATTCTTCTCTCGCTCAGACAACTCTGTGACAGGGTGGGAGACTTTTTTGCAAGCATTGAGTTATTTCCTTCAAATGTTTTTTGGTTCTGCTGCTCTGGGAACCCTCACTGGACTCATCTCTGCAATTGTATCCAAACTCATTATGTGTGGGAGAAATGTACAACTGTGTGTGTGTGTCTGTCTTATTTAAATTCCTTAATTTACTGATCAGTTTCTAAAACATTTTGACCTGAGGAAGACTCCTTCACTAGAGTTTGGTATGATGATCATCTTTGCGTACCTTCCCTATGGCCTGGCAGAAGGCATTAAACTGTCTGGTGGGTGCACATATACCCAGACACTTACTCTGACATGCACGCCAAAGAATATATCTTTTTATGTTCAACTTCATAGGACTTTCCTTTTCAATGCCATGCTTTCTCTCCACCTACAGGAATAATGTCCATCCTGTTTGCTGGAATTGTGATGTCTCACTACACCCATCACAACTTGTCTCCTGTCACCCAGATCCTCATGCAGCAGACTCTGCGCACAGTGGCCTTCATGTGTGGTCAGTGAATTCCCTCTCTTCACTCCAAGTCCCGCTTTGTTTTCATTTTACAATGTACTCAACAATATTTTTCTATTTTTCTCAACAGAGACATGTGTGTTTGCCTTCCTTGGTCTCTCCATCTTCAGCTTCCCTCATAAATTTGAATTTTCCTTTGTCATCTGGTGCATAGTAAGTGCTCCTGCATTTTTAAAAATGTTGTCTGTATGCTGACATCGTTCCAACCTAATTCCTGGTGTCTGTGTTAATTCTTATGATTGTGGCTTGTTCTTCTGTCCGTAGGTCCTGGTTCTTCTCGGGCGAGCAGTGAACATCTTCCCTCTGTCATTCCTGCTGAACTTTTTCAGAGACCACAAGATCACACCCAAAATGATGTTCATCATGTGGTTTAGTGGTAAGATGCTACAGTGACCCTTAAGTAAAGAATGACAAGGCTTTTGGCTCTTTGTTAGTGTCTAAGGAGTGAAAATTGCACAAATATAATGCGCATCTCTCTAGATGCACATGTCATTGAAAATGTCATTGAATGTCAAAATGTCATGTCATTGAAAATGACGTGGTAAAACTTTGGTCATCTGGTCGGATAAAAAAGGTATTTGAATGTCACCTCACCTTAGGCTATAGACAAAGGAATAAATCAATTAATAGAGAAAATAATCTGAATATAAATCGAAAATAATTGTTATTTGCAGTCCCAAGTAAAATAAAATAAAACGAGTGAAACAACTACAACTTATCCAGATTTTAGTTTACATTATAACTATTTATTATAACTAAGTATAAGTGAATTTGTTTCTGAGGACAAACATGCCTCTTTCAAATACATCAACTTAGGGCTGGGCAATAAAACAATATTGTTATCATGTATTATGAATTCATGCTTCGTCAGGTCTGTCAGCAAGCCAGCAGGACAACAACTTTTAAAATGTTTGTTTTCTGAATGGAGTTTGGATCGATCAGGGCTATGCTTTGCTAGCTTGTTCACAGTAAAGTACAACGATTGCTGGAATAAAGTTATGGACACACATTTTCTGAACTCACCAGCTAGTTCAACGTCTACGCTTTCTTTTCTTCAAGCAATGTCCAGTTCTTTCCGGTTTTTATGTAAATATGAACTCTGGGTGGCAACCGACGCTAACAATAACAGTGGAACTGGAAATACAGGGAAGCCCGTTGCTGAGAAGCTCGAGTGAAGATAAGTCAAATTTTTAATCCCAAAAACTAAGGTAAAAAAAATAATTGAATAAAAGCAGTTATCTCTGAGGTCCTTCCGCGTTTAAACGGCGTAGTTTTCAGAGCATAATCCAGTCCGACTACTGTTGTTTATTTGTCCAAAAGCTGCAGTGCTGCTCCTGGCTCTTTCTTCTACCCTTCCCCGCAGTTTAGCAGCTCTCCGTCGGCCAGCGGCATGTCACTCACCCACTCTGCCTGGTCCCCTCCAAACAAACCTCTGAAGCCGTCAGTGATGTCTGGACAATCTCACCGCTGATAGGCTTTTGCGACATAACGTTTTGCGAATTTCTCGCACAAGTTGAAAAATTTTAACCCGAGCGAACCAGCGAATGCCGCAACAAACGCATCTTCTGCACCGCCTGGACCAAATTTGCATCTTTGCATTGAATTTGTATGTAATCAAGCCGTGCAAAACGCTGGATTTGCTTTCCATGTTAACACGCTCTGAGACCCAGATTTACAGTGGGTACGGAAAGTATTCAGACCCCTTTAAATTTTTCACTCTTTGTTTCATTGCAGCCATTTTCCAAAAATCAAAAAAGTTCATTTTATTTCTCAGTAATGTACACTCAGCACCCCATCTTGACAGAAAAAAAACAGAAATGTAGAAATTTTTGCAAATTTATTAAAAAAGAAAAACTGAAATATCACATGGTCATAAGTATTCAGACCCTTTGCTCAGTATTTAGTAGAAGCACCCTTTTGATCTAATACAGCCATGAGTCGTTTTGGGAAAGATGCAACAAGTTTTTCACATCTGGATTTGGGTATCCTCTGCCATTCCTCCTTGCAGATCCTCTCCAGTTCTGTCAGGTTGGATGGTAAACGTTGGTGGACAGCCATTTTCAGGTCTCTCCAGAGATGCTCAATTGGGTTTAAGTCAGGGCTCTGGCTGGGCCATTCAAGAACAGCCACGGAGTTGTTGTGAAGCCACTCCTTTGTTATTTTAGCGGTGCGCTTAGGGTCATTGTCTTGTTGGAAGGTAAACCTTCGGCCCAGTCTGAGGTCCAGAGCGCTCTGGAAAAGGTTTTTGTCCAGGATATCCCTGTACTTGGCCGCATTCATCTTTCCCTCGATTGCAACCAGTTGTCCTGTCCCTGCAGCTGAAAAACACCCCCACAGCATGATGCTGCCACCACCATGCTTCACTGTTGAGACTGTATTGGACAGGTGATGAGCAGTGCCTGGTTTTCTCCACACATACCGCTTAGAATTAAGGCCAAAAAGTTCTATCTTGGTCTCATCAGACCAGAGGATCTTATTTATCACCATCTTGGAGTCCTTCAGGTGTTTTTTAGCAAACTCCATGCGGGCTTTCATGTGTCTTGCACTGAGGAGAGGCTTCCTTCGGGCCACTCTGCCATAAAGCCCCGACTGGTGGATTGCTGCAGTGATGGTTGACTTACTACAACTTTCTCCCATCTCCCGACTGCATCTCTGGAGCTCAGCCACAGTGACCTTTGGGTTCTTCTTTACCTCTCTCACCAAGGCTCTTCTCCCCCGATAGCTCAGTTTGGCCGGACGGCCAGCTCTAGGAAGGGTTCTGGTCGTCCCAAAAGTCTTCCATTTGAGGATTATGGAGGCCACTGTGCTCTTTGGAACCTTAAGTGCAGCAGAAATTTTTTTGTAACCATGGCCAGATCTGTGCCTTGCCACAATTCTGTCTCTGAGCTCTTCAGGCAGTTCCTTTGACCTCATGATTCTCATTTGCTCTGACATGCACTGTGAGCTGTAAGGTCTTATATAGACAAGTGTGTGGCTTTCCTAATCAAGTCCAATCAGTATAATCAAACACAGCTGGACTCAAATGAAGGTGTAGAACCATCTCAAGGATGATCAGAAGAAATAGACAGCACCTGAGTTAAATATGAATGTCACGGCAAAGGGTCTGAATACTTATGACCATGTGATAGTTCAGTTTTTCTTTTTTAATAAATTTGCAAAAATTTCTACATTTCTGTTTTTTTCTGTCAAGATGGCATGCTGAGTGTACATTACTGAGAAATAAAAAGAACTTTTTTGATTTTTGGAAAATGGCTGCAATGAAACAAAGAGTGAAAAATTTAAAGGGGTCTGAATACTTTCCGTACCCACTGTACATGCTCTCACATAGCCATTTTACATTCACGTTCATTTGTCCTTTTCTTTGTGTGGTAGGTTTGCGAGGTGCTATCCCTTACGCGTTGAGCCTCCATCTGGGCCTGGAGCCCATTGAGAAGCGGCAGCTGATTGGCACAACCACCATCATCATCGTGCTCTTTACCATCCTCCTCATGGGGGGCGGGACCATGCCACTAATTCGCGTCATGGACATTGAGGAAAGCCAGTCACGGCGGAAGAACAAGAAAGACATCAATCTCAGCAAGACACAGAAAATGGTAATGGATGAAGCAGTTACATTTCACTTCAGTCTGCACACACACACACACACACACACACACACACACAAAAAGTTTGTCGGCTTCCTCTATACTTGCTGTGCCATCCTCTCATCTGCCATCAGACTCCTCTTCAGAGGGAAAAACATCAAAGGGTTGATTGTGGTTTGTGTGAAGAACACTGAATCAGCGGGGAGCAAAATACTCATCACAGACATGCACCACAAGCACCACAACTCAGACGAGCACAAATAAACCCAAGCAACTGGCATTAATAAAATTTCCCAGACACGCCAGAATACAAGCAATTGTTTTTAATATTTCAGTTGACCCCATTCACTCTAACTCTAGATAATGGGTCATCTTTTGAAGTATTCTACCACTGAGGTCATTGCTGCCGTGTGGTTGCATGTTTGATGTCTTACAGAGCTTAGTTTTACACCCCGGGGTATCAGCAACTTCATCTATCATTCCTCCCTTCCTTATGGGTTTTTGATGTAGTTCCCTCTCCTTGCTCCCTCTGCTCTTTCCCCCTCATCTCTGCTCCTTCTGAGTGTGATCTCGACTCCACCTCTCTCACCCCTGTCCTGTCATTTTTCCTTTCCTGCACCTACCTTCCTCTACCTCCATCTCTTTCACCTCTGCCTCATTAGTTGGCTCCTCTCCTTTCATTTCTTTCTTTCTTTCTTTCTCTCTATTTATCTGACTCCCCTCTCTCCTCTTCCTTTCTCTCCAGGGTAACACCATTGAGTCAGAGCACCTATCAGAACTGACAGAGGAGGAGTACGAGGCTCAGATCTTCCAGAGACAAGATCTAAAGGGCTTTATGTGGCTTGATGCTAAATACCTCAACCCCTTCTTCACTCGCAGGCTCACTCAAGAGGTAAGCGAAAGAGATCCCTTAAACGTATTTCATTGTTTTCCAGTTGTACTGGTTTCCTCTCCGTTCTTACAATTGATGCACAATAAACAGAAATGCTTCGCAATACAACAACTGCACAGTAAATATCAAGTTGGTGAAGCTCATAATTGCTGAGCCACGACGTGAAGGGTTGCAAGCAGTCGAGCCATGCTGCACCGCACAGCTAGTGTGCTGATGGTCTGTTTGCGCTATTCCTCCCCGTAATATTAAAAACTGATCTGCTGACCAAATATTACAGAATATGTCCATATCTGGTTGATTAGACTTGAAGAAGATAGCACCACTAACTTGGTGAGAAATCCCATCGCATTTCCTGTAACTTCTTCACAGTAAAAGCCTCCTAACAAGTGTAAAGTGACGTGGCAACAGCAGGAACAGTGGGGTTTGCATCATCAGTAACTTAACACAGCTGAAAGCGATCATTAGATAGAAATAAGGCTGATATTTGACAGAAAATCAGGAGTGAATCCCATGCTGTAAGGCTGTAGTGGAAACTCATGTCATTTAGATCTAGTCATAGTACATCTTAGTAAATACCTCATTAAATTCAAACATTGCGGTGATACAAATCTTTGCGCCCCTGATGGTAATTTGCTGTAGGCTAAGTAAATATTCCCTATAGTTTGTTGTTTCGCAAATTTAGCAAGTATTTTTAGCCACCTCTGTTCTTTTCCTAGTGCTGCCTTCAAATCTGTAAACTGGTGATTGTCAAACCTTTGCCAAAGAGGACATACTGTATACTGCCATTTGGTAGTTACTTTAATATCACTTACCTGTGTAGCAGCCATTGTAATTATGATTTACATAATTTGTTGTTTCTTCTTGAAGTGATAAACAGTGCAAATTATCTAATTTGACAATGGGTGAAATCTCAAACTCTGACTCTTGACAGTATAACGATATTTAATGTTTAATTCAAACCTCTCACAGTATTATCAATAACAGAACATTTATACTGCAGCAGGGCTACTGAATTATCTGTTATTTTGTCTACACCTCGGCCTGTTTATGTCAGTATTTCTTTATTATTTATTCTCGCATGTGTGCTGACTTGTTGTGTGTCTGTGTGTGCAATGTGTGTGTCACAGGACCTGTTACATGGCCGTATCCAGATGAAGACCCTGACCAATAAGTGGTACGAAGAAGTTCGCCAGGGACCTTCAGGCTCTGAGGACGAGGATGATGAAGCAGAACTTCTGTGAACTGAATGCCGTTCATATGAAAACGATAAATGGACATTGTGTGTTCTGAGCGGAGGGAGTGTATGTGTCTCTGCGTGTGTGAATGTGTATGTTTGAGGACACACTGTTGTTCACCTGCCACCAACTTTATGTGACAAAAGAGTCTCCGTCTGTACCCACAGTGCATTTTGAGTTCTAACACTGGTTGAAGCAAAAAAAATCTGTGAAAATGCTGTCCCTCGTAAATGCCATATTATGTAGACGTGCACGCTCCAGTTCACTGATCTGCTGAACAGCACATGGGAAATTTAGTTGATCCTGTGAACCTTTTCCCAGGTGTTTCTTTTATAAAAGGTTTGGTCTGAAGGGAAGCTGAGAGAGAAATCTTCCATATAAAGCAATACTAGAGCACTTTTTCACTGTGTCTCCTCACGTTTGTGTTGTTCATTGCTGTATGGCGTTAGCTTATTTAAACTCTTGTAGAAGTTTTACTTTGTGTCAGGGGAAGGAAACATCGTGATGTCGCTACAGGCTCAATTTCTAAAGTGGGATTTGTAATAAGCCACAGGTGGCTGCGTTGAATAGCTTCCTGTTGAACTACATTTAATTCTCTCTGGGTCTTAGTCTATTTAAAAAACACATATTCCTGCATGAGCTACCACTCCACCCTCCAGCAACGAGGCAGCAAAGAGAAATGCGGGAGAGTGTTAAAACTAATAATTTTTGAAACATTAAACAACTAGCGTCTTATAAGAGAATAATTATGCACCAGATTTTCATTTTCAAATATGGTTCCAGTTTTGTTTCTCTGATTTCACTTTTCTGTGTTTATTTTCCTCCTCTTGCCACTGCATTGTGTATAACGTAGAACTTGAAATGTTGCTTTTGTGATTTTCACTATGGATATCTAATGAAGAAAGGCACCAATGAATGTGTGGGTAGCTGGGAACACTTGTGAATGTATTTTTTTCCTATTTATTTATCAAATGTGTATGTGCTGTTTTCTGGGAATGAAGGCTTTTATACAAGCTCTATGAGCACTGCAGAATTATAGAAAATGTGTATAATTAAACACATTGACATCCTATATGTTGTATTCAATGCTAATTTAATCGAAGATGAGCTACACCCCCAAAAGAGTTTGTGTTTTGCTAATTTCCACAAATGCCTTGTGGGGAAAAAAATAAAGTAGTTACTATTTTTTTTAAATACTTCTGAAGGAGACAGACGTTTATTATGTGCCCTACCGTCCTGGAAATGCAAGTACTTCTAAGGGGAACTAAAAAACTACCAGCTGATTACATTTTGTATGAAAGTCTCTCAGTAAACCTCAATTCCACCTTCATACACAAGGTGTTAGGACCGTATGATCTTTAATTTGATCTTTGATAACTTGAGACGTTTTGACTAACACTTGCATATTTTAGTATGACTTTTAGTAATGTCATTATGCCACTTTCCTCTACAAGTCCACAAGTCTATGTAAGGTGAGTCGACAGCAAGGCAGCTTAAGAACATGAAAACACTTTTATAATCAGATAACTGATCAATTCTGTTGCAATAAATGAACACAGTTTACACTTTAATGAGGTGTCACGTTGCCAACACTAACCAGCCCATACTGAATGGAAATCAATCTAAAAACAAAATGCATAAAGAGGCCAATACAATAGTTTAGTTTTTGTAAAGCCCTTGGTGCTAAATACTAAATATGTGCAATGATTTGACTAGATGCTGTCCTTATTGATTAAAAAGGTTTTTGTTGGGTCTCTGGAAATAATATTTTAAAGGGGTCTAGACCTGCTCTGTATGAAAAGTGCCCTGTGACTTCTGTTACAATTTGGCACAATATTAATAACACTGAATTGAATTGAAAATAAAATTTGTCTGAAAAATGTATTTTTGTAATGGTAATGTACAACCACTAGATGGCTCTAAATCCACAACATTGGTCCATGAAAATGTAACAATCCCATAGAACAGTGCTTCATTATTTACTTTTCATTACCCAATTAGACCCAATAAATCCTCTGCTGTGCATTATATATAATTCCACTGTAAGTGATTGAAATACATGTAAATGAGGAATTACATTTTCCAGTCATTTTCTGCATGTGACACTGTTGCATTCTCTGCAACATAACTCAACCTACTCTGTATAAAATATTAATAGCTCAGCCTTCATTCACTTGTAACTGTACATAAATTTATATTATGTGGTACCTCCATCAAACAATATAGCTTGAAAATTTTCCTGAAAGTATTGTTTCCCAATCTGGAGTTTCTAATAAAATGGGCACCTAGTAATACACTTTTAAAACAAATATTTCTTCATCAGTAAATTGCATGACGGTGTATTAGTGCTATTGTAGATTTTAAAAAATTACAGAGCACGGGGAGGGGGGTAATATTTCCAAGATTCAAAAGACGTATTCAAAATTTACAAAAAAATACTACTTTTCAGATGTGTTTGTGTTATAAAAGGCTATGTACTTCGACATAAGCTACTTTCACTAACCAGTATTATGAGATTCTTCTTCTGTTCAAAGACCAAAAGCATAAAAAAACTGCAGATTTATTAATGACTAAAATATGATGCATGCTTTCAATTGACTTGAAGTCTGTCAGCTCTCTACAAACTCCATTTTTTCTCTTGAGTTTTTTTCTAGTAAATGTACGACTTTTTCCCCCTCAGAATATTACCGTCCTCATCCGGCTCCGTAAGTTCTTTTTATTTTATTATATTTATCTACAATGGCCCTAATATGCCATCGTAGTATACTGTGGTGTATCATCATTACCTTTTTTAATGAAACATACATTACTTACTTACACTTCCACACTCTCCCAGCATTTCCATATTAAGAGGAAATGAAAATAATTTACGCTTAATATGGAAATGCTTTTTGTCTTGTAGCAACGGCATGTTAATATGGTCCTCCCTGTAAGTAAGTAAGTAAGTAAGTAAAATTTGTTTATTATAGCACTTTTCACAGAGTGTGTCACAAGGTACAGAGTGTAGAAATCTATTCTTTCTCTGTTTAAATACAGACATATCAGTGTCAAGAGGCCTTAGCAGTATAGATATACAATCATGTTCTTGGGATATTAGCTTGGAATTCTTCCAGTCCCCTAAACTATCCATCCACTATCCTTCGCCTGAGCCAAATCATCCAAATCTGGATGGAATAAGTATCATCACTCAATATACTATTGCTTGTTCTACAATTATAATGTTCTTTTTTCGATTAGATAGATAAATTAAGAAGCACATAGTGAGTGAATCTACTCAAATCCCCTGCCAAATAGCAAATGAAAATATGTTGGTTGATTAATGAGAGAATGTAATTAACATCCTGGTTTGCACAGGTGATGAATGAATATCTCACACCGGCACTCTGACAGCTTCTGATCGTGTATTTTTACAGGCCTGTGGACGACAGCAAGGGATTTCACTGGTTAACACGCCTTGAATCTGAGATTCGTAACTCCTCTGTGAAATCAGAAGCTATTGATCAGTTGAAATGAAAACACCTGTAGACTCTCTGCCCTCTATGGCACATCCGTCTTCATCCCAAAAGGTGAGAATTCATTTGGCACATTGTTTGTTGACATACACTAATTTACTGTGGTAGTTCTGCACCTCAAACCATACAAATATATTTGTCTTAATGGCAGCGTGTAGACTCTAGGAAAGAAAAAAACACTGTACATATAACAGCTCTCCCTCCTCTCCAGGTGTCCTTCTGAAACACCCAGCAGGAGAGATGAGAGGGTCAGAGAACTACAACAACCACACACAGACTCACAGTGTGACATGATGACTTTCAAACATTCAATCAAAAAGTAAGTCGTTTTTCTGTCTTCTTGGGGTGGTTTGCTTTGACCATTGACATACCCAGTACTGTCACCGGATAAGTCAACAAAACAGAGTAGGCAGCCCATACCAGTTCTTTCTCTTTCTTTTTCACTTAGTTGCTCGCCTCCTAACAACATTTCTTTATTCTCTATAAGCCATCTGTCTTTATTTTACACACTCCTCCCAAAGGCTCTGCTTTTAGCTACTGATTGAGTGATTCACTCCATTAATGTTCTCGTGAATGCTCTGTCGGCAGGAGTTTAAATATGGAGAAAACAAGCTTGACCTCCATGCATGTGGTAACAAGGGATTGTCACAGGAAAATATCTATGTCCCTAAATTCCCTAACCCTCCTCACCCCTATCTCTATCATAGAATTGGCGAACATGGGACCCTTTGTCATGTTCCCTTTATAAATCTGGGTAACATAGGACCTCTGGGAACATAATGAGTCTGACTATTTCTTGTTATGTTTTGTTATCATTGAGCAGAGCCAGGCTAGCTGGTTCCAATCTTTGCGCTAAGCTGAGTAAACCAGTCGCTCATAGTAGGTTCATATTTACCATACAGACAGGAAAGTGGTATTAAGCTTCTCATCGAAATCTCGATAAGAATAAGAGCATTTCCTAAAATGTCTTAAGTTTTCCTTTGAAGACTATGCTTCAAGAAATCCATCTAATCTGTACAATGTATTTAGCTACAATGCATCAAGTTAGCACTGAGGGATGGAGGGCTTTCTGAGAACAATATGCCTTTACTGATTGTTCAACTTGTGCCCATTGTGAGAGGGTGTGGGAATGCATGTTCTTTTAAGGGTGTGTAGTTTGTGTGAGGGGGGTGTATCATCATTTGTAAGAACTAGAGTCTATGACGCAAACCAAATAAAGAGATTAAAGAGTTTTTACTAAACTTGCAGTTATTAAGCATTAAGGAAGTAACATCTTTCGGACATTTGTACGCACTTATTCAGTTGTTCTTCTGTACTTCCACAAAACAAAGAACACAACGTGTCTCAGCTAAAGTATTCATTATCAGTAGTGAGGAACATAGGAACAGCACCTAAGTGTATGTATATCTGATAAGGCTGTATGTGTCTTTGCAAATGTGTCTGTGTCTGTCTGTGGACAAACCATGTCCACAGACAGATGCAGGCAGTTATATATCTAGCAGGCAACAGAGACTTGGGATGTGAAAGACTTCACTTCCAGTCCAGTGGGTTGCCATGGGAACTGACTTAGGGTCAGTTTTTTGAGTGGCATACCATCGACCGCCATTTCCTCTTGAGGCACTGGAGGAGGATTTTAGTACAATCCCTTGTTTGGGAAGTTATTTGAAGCTGCTTTGCTGGCTGTAACCTGAAGCTGTGTGAAATATGCAGAAAGTAGCAGTCATTATGACTGCTCATTCTACACAGAACAAAATTATAACACTTTTGTTTTTGCCCTCATCCATCATGAGCTGAACTCAAAGACTTTCTCTATGGTCTAGTGGCCTTTCATTGTGGCCAGCCTAAGGCACACCTGTGCAATACCAATGCTGTCTGACCAGAATCTTGATATGCCACACCTGTGAGCTAGATGGATTATCTCAGCAAAGGAGAAGTGCTCACTAACAATTTTGACAGATTTGTGAACAATATTTGAGAGAAATAGGCCTTTTGTGTACATAGAGAAAGTCTTAGATCTTTGAGTTCAGCTCATGATGAATGGGGGCAAAAACAGAAGTGTTGCGTTTATAATTTTGTTCAGTGTAATAGAGAAGTATCTACCTGGGGCCCTTTGTGTTTAAATCAAAGGAAAAATTCTGGAAATACAGTTAGCCAAAGCATGCATCTGATTATTTTTATAATGACAACATTTCTTCTTCTTACTTTTTATACTTTATGTTGATTTGTCATTAACCTCTGAAACACCTCTGTCCTGCCAGTGGTTCAGTCAACACAAATTCACGTTGTGTGGCCAAACTTTGCTTCAAGTCAAACAGCTGTACTGCAAATTCTACTGAAGATCCCAAAATTTCCACAGAAACCAAATATGTCAGGCTGAATTGTGTAGAAATGTGAATTCACTGATGCAAGAATATATTATGTAATAATGTAAGGCAGTATAGAATAAACAGATTTTTTCTACATTGAAGCTAAATGGGAACTAATTACAGGGAAGTAAAATGGGAAAACTGAATGCCGGGGGTAAACTTGGGGAGCAGTGATCATAGACTTCCAGTCATTTTGGATTCAGTCTAATTGACCTACTGTACTGAAGCAGTTCTGTTAAATAGATTGGTTACCACTGGTGCCTTGATTTGTGCCATGTTATGTAATACACT